ACCCTGCTGGTGAGGACTTCAAATGAACATGTTCTACCTTGTTTGGACACCCAGAAAGCATCTATGTTTTCTTCTTTTCACAGGAGGCTATGTTATTTGTACCTATTAACTTTGATTATGGCTGTCAGGCCATGACCATTTACTAGTACAGTTCAGGTCTTATGGTCCAATATATTGGTGTAGTTTAGTCTGAAAAAGCAGCCAATGCTCCAAACAGGAGGATGATTATGTCATTGCGAACACAATGTCATTTCAGCATGATGACCAGACCATGTCATCTTGCATCAACGTGCAATGATGATAGGTCTAGAGAATAAGTAAAGCACCCAAAATAAGGGTTGCAATCTTTCTGAACTGCTTCAGATTTAGTGAGCTTTCCATCGCTCATCCTGCTCCTTTTCCTTCTCTTTATATCCCTTTTATTCAAAATGATCAGGCAGAGAAGTGCTTCATCCTAAGTTATTAGTTTGTCATGTTTGCAGGTGATTGGGACTTACGGAAACGGATACCAAGTTCATTGCCCTGAGGTTGGATGTTGTTCTGCTACAGTAATGTGTGGGTTTATGGGAGGAGGGAGAAGCAGGATTGGCATGGAGGGAGAGACTCTAAACATCATAAACTTGCTGAGGGGATTGTCACCCCAACTGGCAAATGCTCAACTGTGAGCAACAGATTTATTACCTGACATAATTAATTGCCTAGATAGTGACATTTCCCATATTATAGACAATCGTGAATTATGAGCCCAGCTGCTAGCCTTCTCATTCACTGAAATCGGTTGATAAATATGTTTATTCGAGGTCAGCTTGGCCTCATCCATTAGAAATATTGTTTTTCTAAACATTACATTGATTTAATTTACCTCTAATCAATTTAAAATGGTTCTGACAATTAACAAAAGCTTCAAATATGACCTTAAAGTAATAGGATTCATTAGCTATGTTTAGGATTAAACTTATCCTAATAGGGCTATTTTTCTTCTGAGGGCATGTAGTAGGCCGACTGGTGGTCAGTCAAAATGAAATCAATTATTGTAAATTATACAGTTTGGGTTGATTATGTCGTGCCTGCTAATTTGTATAAATAAGGACCTCAAACAATAGAAGCCATTTATTAATAACTATCTGTATCCCAACCTGTATCACACTTTATGTTACAGCTGCAGGATCATCTGTTACCCATGAAGTATTATATTCTCTACTGCTAGGCATATATGCTAATTAAACCCATAATTAATTGTAACAGTTATAGTTAAAGTCAAAATGCTGACAGCCTTTTTGGCCTATTATTCATGGTAATCAACTGATTCAAAAGGCAAAGTAATCAACAATTCCTGCACTAGCCAGGGGATCATAATACAACAGCAGTACCAGTGACAGCTGGCACCCACAGGTCTTTGGATACAATAGGAAATATAAACCTCTAGAACTGAAATGCTTCAGTATGAACAGTGCCTATTGTTTTTCTGAGACAAAATACAAGCATAAGTCGTATTTAAGAACTGAATCCCTAATGCAATGGTTAACAGAAAGGCACAAGAGCCGTGCTCCAGCAAATATGCCCTGCCTTCCCCCGTAGGTGGGCTCTGTAATAGCAGCACTAAGAATTCAGTACCATTATTTGGTATCTTCTGGTTAGAAAACTTCACAGATCCCTCCCCCTGCTCCTGGCCTCTCTCAGATTAGGCAAGAGAGTTCTGGAGAGGGTTTGTGTAATGCAAGAGCAGGTTTTATTTGCTCCACGCTCATTGAATGCCTAGCTACTGAAAGGTGGATATTACCCAGAAGGCATGTGCTCTCTCTGGGTACTTTCTCAGGAGAAGAGAAGCGTTAAGCTGTGCAGGAGACATCACATGTCCAACACTCATCTGGCTGTACATCAGCCTTTGAACTTGTGCAAAATTCCCCTTATTTTGTTCTCAGATGCAGTGGTGGATTCCACACATGCACAAGCCATCGCTTTTGCAGGTCCCAGCCATAGCAGCCCTGAGAGGACAGGGTGGAGGGAGAGGAATAAGGAGGGGACAGTCTGGATCATCATCATCAAGGGTCCCTCAAATACCCTACTGGAGCTGAAGATCTTCTGCGTGGGCACGATTTAGGGTGCCTAGACCATGGCCATAGCTCTTGAGCAGCCCACCAAGAGTGGAAGAGGAAGTAAAGGCAGAATCAGTTGCCACTTTTAGCTTTCACACTTTGCAGTCCAGATGAGGTGCAAGGCCAGACGAGCCATCCAAACATATTAAATACACCAGGTAAATGTCTCTACACAGGTCCCTTCATGCTTTCTTCATCAATTAAAGCCAATCTTGTTATCAGCTATTGCACGTGGCCTCAGATCACAGTCTCTTTCTGAGTCTTGCCTTCTTTAGTCAGGCATGCTCATGGCCCACAGCACCACTAAATCACCAAGTTTTTATATACACAAGCTTAGATGTGCTGCTTCTTGAACAAGGTTATCCAATGTTTCATTACAAAAATTTGCACTGTCAGTTAGAGATGCCCATCAAAGCCTATAAAACAAACATTTGTGGGCATCACCAAGAAATTGTTAGCTCTCATATACAATGTGTGCCTTTAGTGGCACATTTTTAAATAAAATATAGTGTACTAGTGATTTCTAATGCTTAAAATAAAATAAAATAATAATCAACTTTTAGCTGCAGTTTCCCCCCGGTTATTGAGCTGAACTTAATGACTGGCTGAAAAGTATTTGTCAACACAACAGCTGGAGAGCAACACTTTCTTGTAGCTTTATGTCACAGCATATGCCAGCCACTCAGAACATGTGATAATTCAACTGGAGCTGGTACTACAATAGCAGATGGGTTGAAGCATTGTTATTCTCACTCTAGCTCCCAGCCCTTGAGGGATCACTAAATAAAATCAAAGCAGATGGACCATTACAAGCTCATTTGTGTTCACTACAAGCACCTCAACCTCCAGTTGTGATATACTGCACCTTTGTATAAAATGACATGTATGGTAACATGACCTAATGAAAATAGCATCAGACTTGGCAAGTGAAGAATGAGGCTGGGAAATATGCACAGATCTGTTTATCACTGAGTTCTTACCTTGCAGAAAGGGTTCATTTCCACCACTCCCCATGTTTATCATTTTATTTCTATCCATGTTTATCTTTAAATTTCTGCACACTTGTTGCAAGTACCATAAGAGGTGGCCGTGGTTCTGGCTGTAGACAGTCTAGCAGGTTTCCCGGCCTCTGCGGAGATAGGACCAATGCTACTAACCACAGCGGCAAGCTCCTGTTACTCACCCATTTCTACGCTGCTGATAATATGTTATTCTGGGTCTCCCCCAAGTGGCAAGGCTTTGGCCACCCACTGAAACCAGTATCTGTGGGGCTCAGGGCTTCCGCCTGCATTAGTCAGCCTCCTTGTACGGTGGGGTCTTTCACAAGCCTGCAGTGTTGCTCTTATGTAGGTTTAGCTTGGGACATAAAATCGATTGCTCCACGAAGCTCCAAGATTCTTGACTACGAGACCAGAGCCAGCATCGCTGATCAAACTGTGGATGTCTCAGGGCTTGCAAGGTAACAGCGTCGAAAGGGCAAAACATTACTAAAACTATCAGTCGGTCAGAGAGGGATCCTAGCGTGCTGCAGGCAAAGTTAGAGTTGAAAAAATTCTTCATGCCAGCCACAGTTACCCAGCGTAAAGTTGCAGTCACCTAGTAGCACCTCTTTAAACTGCACATGCACACAGGGTTAATGGCCATTCCCAAGCTAAATTTCTTTCTAATCTGAGCTTTTTATATCTGCCTGTATCTATTTTTCTACCTGGTTTTAAACAGCTTCTGTGCGCTAGCCCAGGGACAGCTGCCTCAGTGCTAAACCACATACACTGTGAAGTCATTAAAGGCTTTGGGATTTTTTTTTGCCATTGCTTCCTGTGTAAGCAGGTAAAGTAGTAGCAGTCAGTTAGTAAAGGGTTGGGGGTTTGGAGAGATAGATGCGTTTGGATTTATTTGGATGAAAGATCTTATATAATACTGTGTATCGTTAGTAAAAAAACCTCCATAGGTCGACTGACTGCCAGGGGTCCCCATCATGCCAGCTGCTGCTAGATTTTAAAGACCAGGACAGGTGCAGCAATGGAAAGCCAAAGAAATTGCTTCATTAAAGTTGATAAATACAGTTGAACGTCCGTGACTGGAATATGCAAGTTGAAAAATACCTTGTTTAACTTCTGTGAAACAGCCTCCTGCTCTGTGTTTGAACTGAAAAATCATGACTGGCTCAGCTAATACTTCTCACCTTAGCTGGTAACTTCAGGGCAGCAGGACAGTCTCAAGGGCATGGTTCCCAGGTAGCCTACTGCATGCAGTTCGTGGTCACGTTCATGTCTCGTTTGGTTGTTCTTCCTGAGCATTTTCTGTAAAGTTGTAGGGACACATCCTCAGCTGTGACTCAGCGTAACCCCATTAGAAGCACTTGCAGGTCAGGTCAGACATCAGCACTGTATCTTATCTACTGGCCAGCTTTCCTAGCAGCAAAACTAATTTGCTCAGATAATTCTGTTTCCTGCCATCTATTACAATAAACGAGCGACTGTAGCTTCATTGACGTCTCTGCTAACTAATGAGTTGGCCTTGTAATTCTCAGCTAGTAAACAATAAGGGGGGGAAAGAAAACCCTTACTCTTCTAAATACAGGAAAGTTTTAGGTCAACAGCTTGATGCACTGAGCAATGCTGCATCTCCCTACCCTCCCCATTAATGGAGCATTCTTGCCAGAATCTAATCAAACTGAGGCAAAAACAATTAATGGATCAATCACTCCCTTGCAGATAAAGTTCCCTGGATAATGTCATCTCATGTGGAGCCGCATACATGCAAGTAAACACATGCAGCCACTGTGGGGGAGCACGAGCTTTCAGAAAAAAGTGGGAGTAAACTGGCAAGGGATCCATGGCTACAGCTATTGAAGAAAAGATGTTCTTATGACAGGTTAACTTTATGGCACTTCACTTTGAACAGGGAAAAGGAAATGAAGATAGACTACTAGCAAGCGTGAAACATCCCTGGAGCATACCTATTTCAACAGCAACAACTTGGAGGCCAAAAAAAAGGTATTAAGATGATTCTGCTTTTTCCTTTTGACAGTATCACACTACTGAGAGCATGTCTGTAATGTTATAATTTATATCCTTGTTTAAAATTAAAATATATACTAGTTTATGTCCTGCTTATATTGCTTTGCACAGGTTTGATATTTAATAACGCCAATTTTTTTTTTTTTTAAGAGATTTCCATTCTTCACAAAACCTCAGAGTGTCAGCATTTTCTTCTGGCTTTTCCTGGAAAACACCACTGTTTTCAGACTAGCTCTGCTGGGATAGAAGAGTTGTACTGCTCTGGTTAGGTTACCAAGGTGAGCGGACACTTCTGCAGCACTGTCAGGCTCATTCGGCCAGTCATTTAGCAGAGCAATGTTGAAAAATAATTGCATATTTATCCTCCCCTCCCCGAGTCTTTAAATATGCAGGGAAAAAGTCACAGAAGAACCAATAATGTGACAAGAATAATGAGGCTGAAGAACAGTAGTACAGTGTGAACTCATATATCTCTTGGTTTCATTTACATGTTTAGCAGCTGCTTGTTTTTCCATCATAGAAAGATCATTATGTGGCTTGTAAGAAGAGAGGGGAAGTCTGTTCACCTTTGGGCAACTATCTCTGCATTTATTAATAGTTGTTGCCCATATCATCATACATTTAATTGCTACGTTATAATTTATTTATTCATTGATTTATTGTAATAGATGGGTAGAAACAAAATTATCTTTGCAAATTATTTGGTAGGTGGGAAAGCTGCATGGTTAAAGAAAAAAAAACATAGTGTAGCTTGTGAGATACTGTCTAGTGAATAGCATCTTAATGTGTGAGCGCTAGCATACAAACTAGTCTTGTTAGAAAGCAAAGGTGAATCCAGCCGATCGCTATACCATCTCAAAAGAAATGACCATGTACCTTACGTGAAGTTTATACTTATGTTCCTGGATGGCTCATTTCCTGAAGGAAAGGGCAGATGGCCAAAGAGGAGTGATTAAATGGGATGGAGAGAGAAGAGGACTCAAAAATTAGAAAAATAAAGGTAGGAAGTTTGCAAAGCATTTGGGTAAGTTAGGGCTGACCTTCTGTTAGCACGGCTTGCTTTCTGCAAAGTCAGTATTTATGTGGCTCCTGCCTGCAGAATTTACTGGCTTTAACTGCCTGGCAGCTGGAAGGCAGGCCAGGGCTGCCGCCCGGCTCGTCGCTGCCTTGCTAAGGAGACGGCACGGCTTTGCGGAGCTGGGCTTTACACCGCGGGCAAAATTCATAAGAGCACTTATGGTCCTATTCCCCCACCTAAAAGGGGGGGAGGGTTTGGTTAGCACGTAGGTTTTTTTCCTATAATGTAGCTACCGCCTAAAGCCGTGAGCTGTCTCCGTTTGAGCTGGCCGTTCCCACTGAGCAGCCCCGAAGAGCGGCGTGGGCATGAGGCCCGGCCCCACCAGCCCCCCAACCCATACCAGTATAACCCCGTAGCCTCAGCTACCAGCAGAGCATTAAACTCCTTTGGGGGGAGCTGTGGCGTAACGGCAAGCTGATCATCGACAGGACAGCATCAGCAATCCCTAATGGGTAACTGGGGCCATGAAGATTCGTGCTTATAGGGAGATAGATACAAAAATACACACGTGCAGCATATTATTTCAGTTTTCAGTTAGTAATGCATAGCAATACTAATCACATCAAAAAGAAATCCAAATACTTCTTTTAAATATGCAAAAGTTAATGAACAACAACATCCACTGTCAAATTACTGTATCCATGGGTCAATCAGCTGCAAAACTTGACCATTAGGTCCAGGAAAAGGCTTCTTCCCCACCCCTGGACTGTTTTTTATAAGTGGATTTATTGCACTGTAAGCTCAGTTAGAAAAAAAAATAATAATGCATCATACGTATATGTCATAGCTCGTGAGTAACTGCGGTGCTGCCTCTGGCCCAAGGCCGCGCGTGCCAGCCTGGGCCTCGTCCTGCCGTGCTGCGGGGGCCCCGCTCGCCGG